GAGGAAACAGTCTGGAAAGCTCTTGGAGTGTGTGGATGGTAGCTTCCTGACAGAGGTAGTAAGGAAGCCAGCAGGGAAGGTAGCCCACCGGATCTGTCATTTATGAACAGGGAAAGACCCGTGGGTGATGCTGGAAGCTTGTCTTGGGCATCACAGTCACAAAATGATAGTTTTTGATTCCTACAGAAGTAAGACGGTAATGGCAGCAGAACAGCCACCCTGGATACCTGGAGCACAGATGCTGGCCTGAGGAGGAGACTGGTTGATGGAGGCAGTCCTGAGTGGCAAAGGAGTCCAGGAAGGCTGGACATGCTTTAAAAAGGAAAACCTAAAGGCTCAGGAGCAGGTGTATATGCTGAAAGACAAGCCAGCGAGGAAGACCAGGCTGGCTGAAGAGAGAGTGTTGGTTGGAACTCAGGAGAGGAAGCAAAGAGTCTGTCACCTTTGGAACATGGGCAGGCAACTTGGAAGGACTACAGAGATGTCCTGAGTTTATGCAGGGAGAAAATTAGAAAGGCCAAAGCCCAACTAGAAGGTAATTTGGCTACTGCCATAAAAAACAACAAGAAATATTTTGCAAAATGCATTAGGAACAAAAGGAGGGCTAAGGAAAATCTCCTTCTGGATGCAGAAGGAAACACAGTGAAAAAGAATGAGGAAAATGGAGAGGTATTTAGAGCCTTTTTTACCTCAGTCTTTGATAACAAGTCCGGCTGTTCTCAAGGTACCCAGTCCCCCCTAAGATGGAAGACAGAGATGGGGAGCAGAATGAAACCCCCATTATCTAGGAAGAAAGGGTTAGAGATTTGCTTAATCTCCATGGGACTTAATTGCATCCACCCATGGATGCAATGAGCTGATAGTGTTGGGGGTTAGGTGTCCTTCTTTTAATTCTGGCTTGCCTGTGGAATTTCTACCCATTCGTTTTAAGGAAAACCTGACTGCTTGGTGGGTACTTGAGAAACGAAGAGTTTGGCTGGCCCCATCCGGGAAGGAGGGCAGGAAAAGGGGAGGACAGGGACAGTTTGGCTGGCTTCTTCAGCTTCAGAGAAGGACACTTTGCTGGCAGTGGTTGCTGCAGAGAAGCAAATTCGCCATCACCCAGACGGAGCTGCTGCTTCTTCTCCTTCTTCCCCCTCTTCATTGGTGGCCTCGCACCCCCTGTCCTGCCGGGATGTGTGGCAGTGCCAGGCACTGCCACGGAGCTGCTGATACACCTCAGCCACCAGCCCAGGATCTCAGCTCATTCCTGCTGTTCCAGCCCACTGTACCTCAGAGCCCTGCACGAGCACCGGGACTGCCCGCCCGAGGGGGCTTGTGAAGCAAAGCCTCTCCTCCTTCCCTTCCCGTCTCGGCCGAGAAAGCTGTCACAGGGTCCCTGGTTCTGTTTTCTTGCTAACGCTGTAGTTATTGTTTGTTTGCCTTGTAATACATATTAGTAAAGAACTGTTATTCCTATCCCCAGATCTCTGCCTGAGAGCCCCTTGATTTCAAAATTATAATAATTTGGAGGGAGAGGGTCTACATTTTTATTCCAAAGGAGGCTCCTGCCCTCCCTAGCAGACACCTGTCTTCCAAAACCAAGACACCGAGTTACTTTTCACCATTTACCAGCAGTCCTGCTTAACCAGGCAGGTCCCAGTTGACTAGAAGTTAGCAAATGTTACACCCCATCTACCTGAAGGGTTGAAAGGAGGATCTGGCCCATGAGCCTGACCTCTGGGATGGGGAAGGTCACAGAGCAGATCATCCTGAGTGCCATCACACAACACACAAGGAACAAGCAGGGGCTCAGGCCCAGACAGCAAGGATTTCTGAAAGGTAGGTCCTGCTTGACCAACCTGATCTCCTGTGTCAAGGTGATCTGCTGAGAGGATGAGGGAAAGGCTTTTGATGCTGTCTACCTGAACTTCAATAAAGCCTTTGACACTGTTTCCCACAGCATTCTTCTGGACAAAGTGACTTCCTGTGATGTGAATGGGTGTACTCTTTGCTGGGTTAACTGGCTGGATGGCTGGGCCCAGAGAGTGGTGGTGCCTGGAGTTACATCCAGCTGATGGTCGGTCACCAGTGGTGATCCCCAGGGCTCAGCATTGGAGCCAGTCCTGTTTAATTTCTTTACCAATGATATGAAAGAAGGTAAGTACATCCTCAGCAAGTGTGCAGGAAACACCAAGTTGTGTGGGAGCGTGCCAGAGGATAGGAAGGCTCTGCAGAGGGGTCAGGGTAGGCTGGATCGATGGACCAAGACCAGCTGTGTGCGTCTCAACGAGTCACAGTGCGAGGTCCTGCCCTTGGATCACAACAACCCCACGTAGCGCTACAGGCTGGGGGAAGTGGGGCTGGAAAGCTGCACAGCAGAGTAGGACCTAGGAAAGGTGGTCAACAGCAGCTGAACATGAGCCAGCAGTGCCCAGGTGGCCAAGAAGGCCAAAGGCATCCTGGCCTATATCAGGAATAGCGTGGCCAGCAGAACAAGGACGGTAATTCTTCCCCTGTACTCAGCACTGGTGAGGCCACAGCTCAAGTGCTGTGTCCAATTTTGGGGCCCTCACTACAAGAAGGACACTGAGGGGCTGGAGCACATCCAGAGAAGGGCAATGGATCTGGGGAAGGATCTGGAGCTCAAGTCTTACAGGGAGAACTTTAATGAGCTGGGGTTGTTTAGCCTGGAGAAAAGGAGGCTGAAGGGAGACCCTATTCTCATTACAACTACCTAAAAAAGGAGGTTGTACTGAGGAAGGGGTCAGTCTCTCTTCCCAAGTAACAAGACCAGATAAAATGGCCTCATATCACACCAGAAGACATTTAGATTGGATATTAGGAAGAATTTATTCACTGAAAGGGCTGCCAAGCATTGGAACAGGCAGCCCAGAGAAGTGTTAAAATCTCCATCCGTGGAGGTACTTGAAAAATGTGTAGATGTAGATGTTCCTGTGTTTAGGAACAGTTTTAGTGACACACTTGGCAGTGTTAGGTTAATGGTGGAACTCTGTGATCTTGAGTCTTCTCCAACCTTAAAGATTCCATGAATATCATTTAGCAATCTTCTGACGTCCATTTTTATCTCCATGCCAAAGACTTCCATTTTGGAAGGGGCTCATAGCTGCAGAAATTTTATTTGAATACCGACATGTTTCAGCATGGTATATGTGTATATGACAAGAGTCAATACAGAGGTAGGATTGACTCCTTATCTCAAAGCAAAGCTGACACCTCCTTATTTTTATTCTCTGTACCAGACCAGAAACAGAATGCCAGCAGTTTTATTCTGCTATATCTCTGTAGAGTCAATTATGATGAGGCATTTCATACTGGGACTTATACAAACAATTTAATATACCATTATTATTAGATGTTCAAGAAAATACTCAATTCTCTTCCATTTGGACACCTTTCTTATTCACATTTAGACAGATGAATTCAACCTTATTTTGCTCTTAAGATGTGAAATCACGGACCTTGCACCAAATCAAAGCGACTTGTTTTCATCAACCAGAAACTTGGTGATTATCTTGCTATTTAAATAATCTGATTGTTTTGTTATTTAAGTAATCCAAATATATTGTTTCTGGACAATATAATATATTGTATATAATAACAAATACTTTGTTTCTGGGTTTTGCAATTGGAGAATCCCATGTGTTTGAAAAACTAGGCCTAATCAGTTTAGTCTGCCCCCAAAGATGCAAATTCTTCAGGAAAAAAGCCACAAACACAGTGATCAGTAATCTCTCTTTCCAATCTTCTGTATGGTCCTAACGGACAGCAAAGGAGCAGGAAACACCAAATACAGAGCACCAGTCATTAGAAAAGAAGTTGAGTGTTTTGCAACCCACACAATGCCTGGAGACAATGCCCTCAAACCAGGTCAATCACCAACTCTCTAAAAATTGCTTGAAAATGAAGGCGTTCCTGGATTTCTTTAACCAACTTTAGATCTTTCTACCCCATGAGTAACATATGGAGAGACAGGATATCCTGCACTTCAAAGACAAATTTGTTTTTCTTTCTAATATAGACATAACTAAATCCTTCCCAATGAATTAATGAAAACTGTAGCAAACATCTGTCCATAGCAGAAAACAACTCTTTCCTCAAGACAATATAAAAACTCAATTCTCCCTGGTTGTCTACAGACCAAAGTACACCTTAAATATTTCTGCCATAGCAGAGGTAATTCACTGGATGAATGAAAATCACCAGTTTGGTTGTGGTGATACTGATAGTGTTACTTAACACAGCAGTTACAGGTCAATTGTCTCAGAAGTGAAGCAAAACTCTTGAGGTGCACAGTATGAACAGTCTGATGTGGTTTTTTGTTCTCCTCTGACCACACAGTAAATAATTTCAACTTCCTAAACCAGAGAAACAACTAGGTCACAGAAGAGCTTTTTACTGGGTTGTCAAGCTGACTCTATCTATAATGCAAGCTTACCATGAGAACCAAACATAACCAAAGGACACAGCACTAAACTCTCAGCTGGAAACTGAGAAGGGGCAATTGTCTCAGCTGTCCCATGAAGCTACGCCCTTACTGGACTTTTAGCACTAGAAAAATTGGACCAAAAGATCCTCGCATTTGACTCCATGCAGTTTCACACTGGACTATGTTCCTGTCTCAGCCCAGAAGGAGTTGTTCCACTAATACTCACCTTTCGAGTTTCATGTACTACAGAATACTGCAGATTTTTTCTGGTCAAGAAATTACTATGAAGACAGGCATTTCTATTTTGCAGCTATGTTTCTAAAATTATTAAATTACAGATGGAGTTAAAGACATCTATTGAATCAGTACTCACAGACCTGAACTGTTAACACTCCAACCCCCTTTGGCAGTACAAAGGCAGGAAACTGCCGAGTTTAAGGTTCAGGGAGCACTGCTCACTGCAGTGGAAAATGACTGCTTTCATCACTGAATGTAAAAACAACTCCTCTCTAAACCTTTGAAAGGAAGCTCTACTACTCAACTGAAGGATACAACTTTAGTTGGTTCATACCTGCAGCTATGCACCTCCCTCCAGTCGTTCCAGTCTTCACTCTAAAAGATAAGGAAAAACACACATTGAGGACTCCAGAGTTAACATCAGATAATAACAATCATTACATGAACTCAACCTGGCAAGGCACTGAGGACTGGGAAGGCAAAGTGTATTTCTAATAAAGGAAGTCATCATGAGGTGGTAACAGCCCTCAACAGAATCAAAACTGAAGCTGCATATTTCAAGTATAAAGGGTAAATGAAAAGTGCCCAAAAATGGACTGCAAACACAACATGGCTGAAAACAGAAGTCCTGGAGCTTCCTAGCAACGTTCAGTGGATTTATGGCACCTATCTGGCTTTTTGGCTGTCACAACAGAAGCAGCTACCAACAGCAGTAGCCACAGTCCTAAACTCCTACATGACATTATTTTGACAGCTGCAGCACTAACAGATGACCATGAACCTGCAGAGGGGAACTCAAATGTGCAACTGCAGAAATGGAAATGTATCAAAAAGCATTGAATTAGGGAACACAGAACTGAACACAAGGAAAAAATGTTATTTCTACATCTTAAGCAAATCATAAGCCAGGAACCATACAGATTTTCTGTACTAGCACCTCATAAATAGGAGATGCTACTTCATGATTCAGAGCTCTCTTTTTTGCAAATTCAGTAACAGATTCTCAACACAAGCTAGTCCATATTTAAAAACAAACGGGATTTTTTAGTTGTGAGGTTTCTTGACATTTTTCCCCCCCTCAAATAATTTATTCTCTGCTTCCTCCTGGGTTATTTTGCAGAACTACACTCATGTCAGTCTAGCAGTATTTTACAGAAAATCCAAATCTATTTACTTATCTATAATTACCGAACTAAAAACTACATCCACCAGCAAGAAGAATTATACAAGGCTATCTGAGCTCCCACATCTTGACTGCTTTGCAGGCCCCCTACTTAACCTTTGTTTTATATTTTTTTAATTAGTGAGAATAAGCGAGCCACATCCTCTTCTAGCTTGCCATGTAATATACTTGGTTATTTATCACATGTATTCATACCCTCTTTTTCAAAGGGAGACCTCTAGAGAATTTTCAATTCTTCTAAATACTTCCTATTTGTTCAATTTATTTAATAAAGTACTAAAGCCTCTAAAGGAACAAAGAATCCTAAACACAAGAACAAAATTAATTTTCTTATATTTGTTGAAAACAAAACTCAATCCATGAATCCTGACAAACATAATGCAGTTATCTGGAATGTGTATTTTCAAAATTATGAATTCTTCTTTCCTAGAATATTACTCAAAACTGACTGTTGTTCAGGGAACACTTTACATATTTTTGCTCTGTTTCACAACAACATCCTGGATTATGAAGCTCCAAACAGTGACTGAGGCAAACATTACCTTCTTCCATCTCAGCCAGATTCCTCTGCTTTTCTGCAGTTTAATTACAAAATATTTGTTTATTGCCAAAAAAACGAGTCTCAGATTCCTGCTAACAGAACTTCTTCATGCCTAACTTCTAATGTCTTCAAAACAACATGTAACAAAAAATTTTTGCTTATATGCTAAATAATACTCCTTTGATAATCAACTTTCAGAAAAAAATAAAATTAAATACACAGCTATTTAGTCTTGTGAATACTAAAGAATATCTACAAAAACTTTCTGATGTTAAAAAGAAAATCTTCAATTCACACATGTAACTGTAACACTCTGGTGAATTAATTTAAAAACTTCAAAGAAACCAAAAGTGCAGCTAACTTAGCCAGAGGAACCCTCTTCCTTTGGGAAAAAATATACACTTCACCAAATCAAAGGCAAAATCCAAGACAATAAAAACTTCAAAAACCAAGCAGCAAATCTGACAACCACCTGTAGAAAGCCTGGGAGAGAGCTCTTAAATCACAAATTGTTTTAGTATGGTTTATTTAATTGCATGCAGAACATAAATACACTAAATAATTTATCCAAGTTCATACATCAGACAAACCTGACCCAAAGGCCAAAGAATCTGACAACAGTGTTTCTTCTCCGGAAAAATCGGGTTTTGGATCCCTTGGACTAAAGTACATGCATACATACAGCTGGGTGCTGCTAGCCATGTGTGCAGCATGGTCATGTCTGTAATTAACTGATGGGGCAGTAAGTTCTCGTGCAAAGTAGGTTCTCCTCAGCCAACATTTGATGCTGATAGCCAGCTGTTCTCAAAGCTATGTGAGTGTTCTTAGTGCAGTCAGCAAAACAATTAATAGGGTAAATTCAGACCTCTCATCACAGCTTTTATAAGACTTTCCTGAAGTTGTCCCAACTAAGGTGCTGCAGCTGACTGCAGCTGTCACTTTCAACTACTGCACAAAGCTGGTAACTACTGACACTACCAGAGTACTCCATGTAGAAAAACACAGGTTTAACACTTAGATTTAACAGCTCTACCGATGAACAGTTGCAACTTTTGATATGCAATATAATATAAATAGAACTGCAGCTGGTAATGAAAACAAGTGGCTCTATCCACTAAAGACAATGGATATAAACCTAATAAATCTAGTAATACTACTTTTCTACTAAGTGGTAAAACTTGTGTCTCACCAGCACCATCTAAAAGAATACCAGATCATTAAATGGATTCTGATCAATGAAATTACTGTCACAGTCAGCACTTTGTCTACACCAGTTAGTTCTGATTTCTCATTACACTTTCCAGGAACTAATGTTTATGGGATGTCAAGGTTACCACTGGCAATTAAAGAGGCCAGCAGATCAAACAGACCATATAGCTCAACCTCAGATACATCCTGGCGTCAATAGTCTCTCACATAAATCAACATTCAGTCTGGACTCACTGCAGATGTACATACTTTTAGGAATCCATGTGACCAATAATGAAAATTTGAAAATATAGAAAGAACTAGTTCTTTGGAAGAAGTACAGGAGGGAGATAATAATGCATCAAAGAGTGACGGAGCAAGTGCCCTACACAGATTACAGACTCCTACACAGACCAGAGGAAATTTCAATCACTGCACAGCTCAGGCCACAACCCACAGAAAGTGTCACTTCGAAGCAACCCTTACTAAAGAGCCAACAACACAACAGAGATAGCAAGAGGCAACTCCTAGGGTATAAAAACCTTACCCGAGAAGATGTACTTTTTTATCTGAGAAGTGCCCTTCTGCTGCAATCTTTACACCACCCAAACCTCTCAGCACCAGAAGCTACTTGTTCAATGTGAGGCCACAACTCAGTCACTGTGCCTGCTCAATTTATTTTGGCAGACAGAGCTGTCAAATACTGTTTTTCTCAGTGCTGCTAGCACGAATACTAAAGGGTATACAGGGTAGCAGACAAATTATACAGTTAGCAAGCTGAATTACTCATGACAGTATGTTCTAAGTTTTTTCAACTTTAGATGTAATAGGAAGAACAGAATGAAGAATAGAAGAGAAGCATATTTTGGGTCCGCTGCAGAAAAAGACAAAAAGACAGAAAAACATTTAAAATGCTATGCTTCAAGTTGCTCTAACAAGGACATCATAAATTACTTAGGATTTGGGATGTTGATCATATTTGCAATGTCTGTTCCACGTCCAGTCAGCATTTACAGCCCAAACACCTCCAAGATTGATTATTAAGTCTCACAATCCAAAATGAAAGTGTCAAAGACACACTTTAACAATACAAACCAATCCTATGATCTACTGTTGAAAACATGGGACTGGGGCTTAGAAGACAACTTCTATTATTAACCATGTGGCTGAATAGTAACTTTTTCGTTCTGAGATTTTCCATTTGTACAATATGGACAAATATGTACAAAGAAACAATAATACTATTTCTTTGTGAAAAGGTATTTTGAAAACTAGTGACAAAATGTATTTAAGCAGAGTCAGGAGTATCATCACATTGTTACAGTTGCATCTCAGCTGAAAACCTCAAGAACAACTTCACAAAAAAAATTTCCACAAAACACCTGTCTCTTGATAAAGCCAAAGAATCTCATCAACAAAAGATTTTAGCTTGTATCTCTCTCCAGATTATGGTATTAAGGGACTCTCAAAATACACCAGGAGCTGCAAATAGAGAACGTACAAACTAAAGCAACATTTCATTTACTTTTTGAATGAAGGTCGAAAGCATGCATTCATGTTTTGCATCATGGAGACTCTACATGCCACAGGAAGGCCTATCACACAGAGCAGAGTTTGGGCTCCTTTGGGTAAAAGGCTGAGTTTTAGTGAGCACAAACAATATCTTGGTTTAACCACTAAGTTTACTCCTAGAAGCAACAGAACTTTAGCTGAACTTTAACAACCTCATCCATCTCAGCCACAAGATTCAAACACTAACACTTCCAATTTACCTGTTTTAAAGGCAAGATAAAAAAATGTCAGTGGAAAACCCACCCCTGTGCAATGTTTAGACAGATAGAGCTTGCACAGCCCTGTGTTAAAAATTCAAGATACTTACACCTTTTTTCTGATTGTACAAAAGGGAACAGATTCAAAAGCAAATACAGAATAAAAATATACTGCAGGTTCCCCACAAAGATCCTCAAATGCAATCACTATTCCGTATTACCACACCCAAAATGACAAAGAAGGACATGGTGTACATGACTGTTTGCAGTATCTATTGCTACTTCAGGAGGAAAATAATTTTAAGGTGTCCCAATTTTGAAAGGTCAGAATTGAGCTGTATACAAAATTCTGAGTAGGTCTGAAATTCTGTATCTGCAAAATGTTGAACCATAAACATTTATATTTTCTTTCAGAGAAGCACAACTAAGAAATACTGATTTACCTGAAGCCTGTTTGTCTTGCTTGGCTTATATTAGACAAATACTTGCCATGAACTCTACCGTGCAGAATCTGCCATTACCACGCCTGCAAACCAAAGAGTAAAAATAGGCTCAATTATTTTTATCTTTATTTTCTAACAGGCATACGGTAAATCCTTTACAGAAGTAAATGGATACAAATTACTCTCATTTACATCTGCAAAGAATCGGAGTTACTGCTCTATAATAACCGATGAATACTGATTCAAATCAC